TCTATATGACCGCACATCTTCCGGATGCAAACATGACAAGATTTGCAAGGCATTAAGTGCTGTCTCCAAAAGCAAAGCAAAGATGCCAGATCCTTTCTGCCATTGTGCTCTCCCACGATGCAGGATCTCCATGGAGCCAGCCAGGTTCTCAGCATAACTGGGTGGGATGTGCAGCCCAGGAAGGCAAAGACTAGACTGTGATCTCTACTGCACTCTTCCCTTGGCTTGGGCTGACGCAAATATTTGCTCAATTTGCTAAGTGGATGGGTACTTTTCAGAACGTCACCATTTCATTCAAACCTGGAATAGTTTGGTTACAAAAATATCTGCACTTTTAAGTTCAATATAAGATGTTTCATTATTATTTTCTATTAAAAATTATTTTAATATATTTATATTTTAATATATAATTAAAAAATATTTTAATAATAGAAAATTATTAAAATAGAAATTTTCTATAAATTTCTATTAAAATTTAAAAAAAACAAAGATGATCATATCCCAAACCTTGGAAATTACAAATTAAATTTTCTTTTTCTTAAAAGAAATCTGAAAAATGCAGAGTATATAAATTTTAATGAATAAATGTTCTTTGTGGATTTTTTGACACAAAGTAAAGTTTTTTGAAATTAGACTGCTGACCTCCTAATGATATCCAGCAGGCTTTCTCCTTTGCAGATATTAGACATTTTATAAAAGTGGGCTATTTCATATCTGCTATTAGATCTCTTTTTTAATTTTTGGTTTGTTTTTTGGTTTTTCGAGACAGGATTTTTCTGTGTAACAGCCCTGGTTGTCCTGGAACTCGCTTTGTAGACCAGGCTGGCCTTGAACTCACAGAGGTCTCCCTGCCTCTGCCTGCTGAGTGCTGGGATTAAGGGCATGCTCACCATTACCGCCCAACTGCTCGAGATTAATGCAATTCGTGGATAAAGCCCGTGTCAAGTGATTCTATAAAGCCCTACTACCCGTCCAGAGCACTTAAACCCTGCACGTTTGTTGCTGTATTCTCTCACAGTAGAGGTGACTCACAAGCCAGGTTGTCTGGGTTCTAATCCCACCTCTGCTATTCAGATATCAGGCACATCTGTGAGATAGGAAGGGAAGAGTAGTCTCTACCTAGAGGGTTCTTGTAAGGAAGGGTTCGTGAAACTGACATATTTACAAGAGCGTTAGGCACACTCTGAGCGCTATGGCAGTATTAATCATCGTTAGTGTTTTCGCAAGCCTAGTCTCGCAAACATACCAATTGCTTGATACATAGCAAGTACCTAGTAGCAGCCATTAAATAAAAAAAAAAAACAAAAACAAAAAACTCCTCTACAGCCCCGCCTAGGGCTGATAGTACAGCTGTTGTATTTTGCGACTGAATCCAACAGAACCACCGTGACACTTTCTTGCCTGTGATAGTCTTGTGTTTGCTGCTAACAGGCTCAGCTTCAAAATGGAGACACGTCCTAACTGCCTTTGCTCTCATGTTGGCTGCTGACAGAAACTCGCTGGTAGCCTGGCAGAACCTGAGAAGGTGTCTTCCGGACTTGGGGACTCTACAATCTTCAGTGTTGTGTGCTATGGGAAGGAGGGAAAGAATTATCCCAGCAAACACGTCAGCCCCTTGAAAGGCAGCCCTGGAGGCTGCGTCAAAGGGAAATAACACGGCTTTTCTTAGCAGGTAACTTGAGGATTAGATAGGTGCCCCTGGTTGTCTCTTAACTTGGACAGATGGTCTCTATTGCTCATATCTCTGATCTTCACAACGAGAGAGCGCACGTGAGAAGATACATTAACACAAGGGTCAAGAAAGCTCATAATTATTGAGGAGGGACATGGTTTTATTTGAAAATAAAATAGAAAGAAACACATCACGACATACTCCCCTGCCTCTCTGTTTTCTCTCTAAAGTATATTATCTTCAGCAGGCCGCTGACTTTTTCTGCTCAGGATGGGTAGATATAGGTCTGGATGGATGGATGGGACTGAAGGAAGATGAATGAGGGTAGGAGGAGCGAATAGAAACTGAGTGGCAGGTGGACACTTCTCAGGCCTGATGATTCTCAGAAACCATTTACCTGGCAGCTCTAAATCACAGTCAAGAGCTAGGTGCTGCTTCAGTAATTCAGGTGCCACAGCCGGGAGAGGCCACAGCCAGGAGAGGTAAATATGCCTTGTATGGCCATGCGGCCATGCGTATGGCGAACTTCAAGGAGTCTTTATTCTAAGGGTCCAGAGATGAGCTGCGTAGCCTTGGAGTCATGTGAAATCATAAGATTTTATAGAAAGGGAGTTCATGTATCTCATTAAATTCTAAAAAAATATTTGTGATATAAATAATTTTAGAGCCAGGTGCCAGATTTCAAGAGAAGGGGAAAATAAAAGGTTACTGTGTAAAAACTCAACAACAAAGGCAAAAAATAGAGAGAGAAAGATAGTTTAGAACTCCTCAATAAAGAACGAGGTCCAGCCCTCTGCCTTCAGAACAGTGGTGGAGGAGAAGGGGCATACATGAGAACAATTTTCTCAGACCCACCAAAGCCTGGAAACCGGAGACTTCAGAGGTCACTAAATAGGGTACAGTGACATGCTGAGACCCCAAGTACCCATCTCCCCTCTGCATAGTTGAGGGTCTACTCTTACCCCAACCTGTTCAGGAACCAGAGTGTTTGCTTGAGAAGAAGAAAGAGGAGAAGGAAGAGGAGGAGGAGGAGGAGAAAGCAGAAGAAGAAGAAGAAGAAGAAGAAGAAGAAGAAGAAGAAGAAGAAGTTCTTTCCAAAAGCAGCTTTACAAATTAGACAATAAAGTATAAAGTAGTTAGTCTTTGAGAATTCTGAGAGAAATTACTTCCCCTCCCCCCAGAACTGTTAGGCAAACCAACAGTGAGTGTGAAAATAGAATAAGGTCCCCCGTCCCCATCCCAGCCATGCAGAACCTAGAGCAACTGGCTCCCCAAGAAATGGACACACTTCTTTATGAAGACTGACAGATGTGCTCCTGCAAAATGAGGCAGAAATCGAGAAAAGGCATAGGATACAAGCAAAAGAGATCATCCCCAGAATGGGAAAGCAGAAGCCCCAAGAGGGAACAAGCCAGACCCGACTACCTCCAGGACACAAAAGATCGTGCAAGAAGTGTGAGAGGTTTGCTTCTCTTCAAAATTACTTAATAGACATTTAATAAAGTCATGGAGGATATGAAAAGGCACAGCTGTTCCAAAGAGATCTGAACTCCAGGAAATGAAAGGATTTAAGAAAAGAATCTTCATGTATTATTCAGCCTGGCGGTGGGAAGTTAGGATTTAGATGGTGATCATGAGGAAAGCGCTGAGCATGGGTTACGTTGGGAGTGGAGGGGAAATGTGGGGACCATCACCGCTACACCATCAATGTTTTAAGGCACACTTGGGATGGGATGTGGGTGTGCTCCCCTTTGCCCTGCTTTAGCTGTGAGTCCTTAGGCACAGCGTGGAGCCCTTCTGTGACTCAATTTCCCCATCTGTAACTGAACAATCATAGCTATTGCCTCATAAGACTGGTAAAAAAAAAATATTAAGTAGGTTAAGCAGTCGAAAACTTCTAGGGGAATTTATAGTAACATAGGAAAGACTGTGTAGGTATTTGGTGAGTGATCAAGTACTAAACCGTATGGACATTGTGTGGCAATACGGTAAAAATGTCAGCAACTTAGCTAAACAAATGAATTTGGTTGCCTTTAGGAATCAGGAAACATGAACAACGAGAGTTTTGGCTTTAGGTTTCTGAGCGTGGTTTTAGAAAACGATTACAGGCAATAAAATAAACAAAAACTAATATCCAACAAGTTTTAAAATGAAGGGTGTGCCAAGCTTTGGCAAGGACTGCTTCACGGCCCCCGTCAGTTTATTCCGGTTCCATTTGCTGCCTAAGTGATGTCCTATGTGCTTCCAAATCTTGCCGAGGAACCAAGGCTGTTTGGAGAAATAAAATTGTCAATACAGCAATCCATCACTCAGTTACGTCTGTGTTAAAACCAAAACCAATTAAAAGAACAAGGTTTTCATTGCCCTAAAAGTCTTGCAGGTATTAGCCGGTGATCCGAGATTAGTGGTGGAGAAACATACCTTGAACATACCAGCAGGCTCCCCTCCTCCCATCTTCTGATAAAGAATTTAATAAGTAATGGAAGCGGAGACTTCCACTGCGAGGGGGAGGGGCCGGCAAGGCCACGGATGGAGAGGACACACAGATCTTTCTCCCAAAGGTGCATTTCCTCCTCCAGACTAATGAGAGGGCCAGCTGGACCCAGAGCGCCAGTGTGGTTCTCGTGCCCGTAATGATATCCAACTGCGTCCAGGAGGAATTACGCCCCAGCCACGTACTTCACACGGCTACTGGGATCAGAAACAAAGGCCTCAAAATCGTATACTCTTCCCGTGATGCTCTGGCCTGATTGTCTAGTCTGCTGCCAAATCTCAGTTTCTAGGATTTCCCCGTGTGCGTTTCAGTCTGTCTGCCAGATCAGTATGGGTTCCGGGATTTATAAGATAATTCTAGACCATCATCATGCAGCGATTTGAGTACTTCTCCTCCATTTGCTATAAGGAAGGTTGTTTTTGTGTTTGCTGATTCTCATTTGAGGGGCATCCGGGGTCCAGAGCTTTTCGGTTTTGAAGGTCCCTTCATATCCCCCTATTTCCAAATACAACACTCATCATACTGTGTGCAGTGGGAAAACACATTTCACTCTGGGCCTTCCCCAAACTGTGGGTGTGGAGAACACAACCTCCTCTCTATAGAAGGAAAGGAAGCAGAGTGATCTCTGTCCCAATGCGACAGCAAGCGAATCCCTCCCTGTGGGGACCTCAGGCTAAGCAAGTGACCACTCAACACGCCGCCGTCGAAGAGGGTGACAGTTAATCATTTGCTAAAATGGTGTGGGCCTGAAACCAGCCGATTGCTGCTCAGCTGACTGAGTTTCCCCAGCCCCCTGCCCCTGGCACTGACTTGCCATTGTCCCCTTCTTCCCAGACTGCTGGGTTTCAAGAGATTCTGACCGAGGTGGAAATTTTGGCGGTGATTGTGGGATGCCTGTGTCATGACCTCGACCACAGGGGAACCAACAACGCCTTCCAAGCTAAGTAAGTGTTCTAATTGTTGTGATTTTAATGCATTTGCCTTTCTGTCCGGAGCCAAAGGTGACGAGCACTAAAGAGTAAAGCATTAATTTCTGGCATCGAAGGCCAAGGCCACGCGGGCTTGGGCATGCATGTCATGGGGCCCATCCATCTTTATAATTCCCTATTCTTCTTTTAATTGCAAATTTGCCCTTCACGTCATGCTTGTTGATTTGGTCTGCCTCTGCTGACCTCTGTCAGAGAGCACAGTTCAGGTTTTCAAAGTCCTATTCTCTTCCTCCCAGCCTGTTTGCCTCCGTGGCATGACAGGCCACTAGGATCTGCTCCTCTCCGGTCTGATTTTGAGGTGATTGGAATAAAAAGAGGCTCAGGAAGATTAATGAAGCAAAGAGTGTTCTGTTCTTCCTATTCCCATGGAAGACACGGAAAACAGACAAAGGACTCACATAAACATAGGGATGGGTAAGCGACTGTCCACCCTGCACCTAAGTCACACACATAGGCCAGTCTGCTCCCAAGTATGTTAAACTGGTCAAGAAAGTCACTGCTTGGTGGCTCACGTTGTGGCAAGAGCCACAGAACTTAGCGCATGTTAAATTCCAGGTGTCAGGACTCTCTCAATGAGGTCAAGTCTTAATGTTCTTTGAGGTTATCTGCTTAGGAGATGGTTAGAGGCCCTGGAGACACATTTTGGCTGGGAACAGGAGGAATAGCTTCTATAGAGGGGTGGGATTAGCTTTCAGGTGACAGACTTCAAAGTTCTCCAAACAGGTAGACCTCTGGCTGAAATTCTAACAACCCACCGCGTGTTTCAGCTTTCCTCCCCGCAACACCCCCTGAGCCGGACCTTGACGTCTTGATCTGGTCTAGCAAACTGCTTTGATCGTGTGCCCTCCTCTCTCTACATCTTTCATCCTCTAGCCCAGCACTTCAAGCGCCTCCCGTCGATAGCCAGTATCCAACAGTTCCTTGACCCTCTTAAACCTCTGTGACATCCGGGTCTGCAAAAAAAACCACAGCCTTGGTTCGGTCTACCGATTCAATTTCTAGCTACCCTGCCTAGACTTGTCCAAGCCCTGGGAGAAAATATCACAGTTGTGCGAGCTTGAGACACAGTAGATAGACATCGGTTCAACTCTGCTGTGCGCTCAGGACTCCGTGTCAATCTCTGCGCATGCGCCCCCAGCTCAGCCTGCACGGCTCCTAGCCGTTGTGCGCCGCCAGTGTTCTCTTTTCCCAAGCTCCACTGCCTCCCCACACCACGCTACGGATCACCTTGCCTCCTACTTCACCGAGAAAATTGAGGCCATCAATCGAGGATGCTCTCAATTTCCTCCCCTGCCACCTACACACTTATCTATCCCACCCCACCCTTTCCCCTTTCCCTCCTATCTCAGTGAAAACGCTGCCTTTCCCACGTCTGAGGCCAATCCCTCCGCCTCTGCTCGGGATCTTTCTCGCCTCGCTCCTCCAGGACCCTTTTCCATCCATCTCCCGCCTTTCTCCTGTATCTGTGTTTCCCTATTTGTGGGTACTCTGCATCTAATTAACATGAGTAATCCTGCCCATCTTGAAAATTCCACCTGCACCCCCACTTGTCCTTTTAGTGACGGTTCCGTTTCCTTCTTTCCTTCCCAGGCAAGTTTCTGTGTTGGTTGTCTTCATTGCCTCCAACCCTGCCTGCCACAGGGCTTTCGATCTCCTCTCCCTAGGAAAACCCGCCCTCAGTGGCCCCCTTTCGAAGCTGCTGTGCCCTTTTTCACGCCCTCCCTTCTTGGCCCTGTTTTCCATGGGTCATATTTTCTTACTTCCGCTTCTTAAACTTCTCTTCGTTTTTTTTTTCCACAAAAAAAAATCTTTATCTACCTATGTAGCCTTCCTCCTCAGTTGGCTTCAAGGCCTCTTTCCTTGTGTCCCCCATTCCTCTCCCGCTCTCGTGACTATTTGTGCCGAGCCTCCACCCATTCCTTCCTCAGCCCTGGCTGCGTTTCTCAGGGCCACGATTCACAATCGCTTGTCTCCAGATCCTCCCGCCAACTGCTGGAGGTCCCAGAGTTCTCTCGCTCTCAGTCTCCCCCTTCATCCGCGTCCCTCTTTCTCTGTCTCTATCCCCAGGAATGTGCAGGTTACTCAGCAGCCTCCATGGCATCTCAGCAAGGCCAACCCCTCCCATCCGTTCATCCCATACAGAAGAGCTGTGCTCTCAGACTGGCTAATTCTTTCTGGTGTCTAGTGTGCTATTTCTACTCCAGAGAACGCCCTTCTGCTCCTTTCCCCACAGCGCCTCTGAACCCAGCACTTCCAGGGTTCCACCCCATGCACACTCCCCTCATCACTGTTCCGTGCATTCAGAATACCCTGGAAAAGTCTTTCCAAAGTATCCACCGGCCTCCATTGTAATTGCTAACTTTCAGATGTACCCCTCTTCTTCTTTAAGAACGGAGACCCAGCAGTGCCAGGTATGTAACAGACACACAGGAAATGTTTGCTGAATTAATGAATGGTGACTGGTGGGTTGTATTTTAATATACCTCCTCAATGGAGTTTCTTGATCTTCTAATCAATGTAGCCTTTTACAGATGCGGATGGTGAAACCTATTAATGTTTATACCACATGCGTCTTTTGACAGTGTCTTATTTAAATTGAATGTCTTATTTTCCTAAGCTTCCTCTTCCCCATGCCAATGTAGACTGTCAGTTTATGCCCCCCTAGGCCCCTCTTCCCAGACCTTTATCGTAGTACCAATGATGCAGAAAGAAGAGCCAACCGGTTAGAATTGTGTGTGTAAACCAGGAGTGAAGCCCCTGTGTGTTCTTTTGAAGAGTGACATGCCCAGTGGCACGATGTCCCAGAATGCCATGACCCTCCCCAGCCAGTCTGTGCACCACACTGAACGGAGAAGCTCTTCTCCACATCAGCCCCTCGGCAGATTAGACCGAGAGCCCACCCCTAGCCAGAGCCGGACCAGTAAGACCTCGCTGTGTACGCCCATGACGTTGTAGCAGTTAGCTGTAGAGAGCTGAGCTGCAGCTCCTGTAGACTCGGGACTGCTGTCGAAAGAAGCTGTGATACCAAGTGGATAAGAGAAGCAAGAAGGCCAGAAAGGAGTGGAGGAGGAAGGTAGCAGGCAGAGAGAAGTCAAAAGGGGAATGCAGATGTAGAGAAAGTGGGAAACAAAATCAGGCATCACACCAGTCTCTCCCCATTGCTTTTCCTACTTCTGGGGCACTCCGCCCCTCAATCAAGACCTTTCCTGATGAAGCTCGTCGTTCTTCATTTTTGTTTCTTGCAAAAAACAGTCCCCAAGACAAGGAAAAGGATCATTTGTCTTTTCACTCTGCCAAGCCCTTGCCCTATCTTCTGTAGATAGTTTTGTCTCCGTTTCACAGCTTGTCCAAATTCATCCACCCAAATGCAGTATGGCAGCAATCGGAGTGAGCTCTCTGATTCCCAAACCATTCCTTACCTGCTGCACCAATGCAGTCAAAGACTTTGGGACATCTGTTTGGGGCTACTGACGTTGGGCTTTCAGCTTGTGAGCCATCTTGCCGGATAAGCTTTAGAAAACTAAAATATATCCTGACATCCAGCAACTCAAAATGTAGAGCATGTAGAACCGAACTGAATCTCTGCATTCAGTGTCTTAAACTTGCAAAAATGGCAATGAACACCCTGAAATCTCAGGTCCTGGGCTGAACGACTTTCACTGATATAGGGTAAGTAATAAGTTGCTGACACCGAACTGCTTTGTGCCCTCCAGCTCCACTCTCAACTCTCTGTACTCCAAGACGGTATGGACCATTTTCTCAGACCAAGTCAGCTTGCATCCAGCTCCCCAGCTCGTAGATGCCCATCAGCGCTTCCACTACCCCGTGAGGTCACATTTGGATTTACACCACCTAGGGCTAGCTCGGCCTCAGTGAAGATTCCGTTTGACAGTGGATGTCAGAGCAACTTTTAACACAGCTGTTTAGTGAGTAGAGTAAAATTTCCCCAGTGAGGGTACCGTTGTTTGAAATCCCTAAGAAGAAGCCTGTAACCTGTTCTCCGCCTTCATTCTTCAACGAAGGAGTTTTTTTGTGTTCAAGGCCTTGCACAAAGCATTCTGGGAAAAGTAGGAATTGCAGCAGACAATCCCTTTCCTTAAGCTCTGCATGCTCGAATCCCAGCTGTTCAGATGATTTGGTAACAGAGCTTACATGCTATGGTCATTATGTGGCAAAGCATAGGCTACCTTTTTTGTCATCTGTAGGCAATTAAAACACAAACAGGAGACTTTTAGCAAGGGACAAATTACTATATAAAATGCAAAATACCTCTACAATAAAAAAGCGTGACTTTAGAGCACCATTTGATTTATGCCCTTAGCCTTTCTGATAAGTGAGCCTTTGAATTTTCATATTTTATCCTTAATTTTTAAGTATTGGAGAGCATGCAGTGAATGATCAATAGGGAGAGAGGCCACCAATACCACCGCGCACTGAAATTACTCTCCTCTCTTCTCTCCAGGGACAGCATGGCCCACTCATCCCCCTCTCTATTACAGCTGCCCCCGATGATTAAATATCAGTACGGCACAGCTTTGTAGTATATTCTCCTAGGAGATTCCTTCCATTCATTTTTAGCATAATCTCTTACACTCATTTCTTGGGAATGAAAACCCATCTTGTCGCTTTCGGCCAGGTCCCAGAAGTGAAATACTGGGGCACATTAATCTGCCCTGACAGCCTAATCCCATTCCTCACCACCTCCCAGCAATTCCCAGCTTCCTAATTACCTTTCATAGTTTGCCTGTTTAAAGTTTCCTCGAAGCCCCGGCTGCAGGCCGCTGCTAGCTCTTTTTCTCAAAGAATATGCATATCCAGGCTGTGGGAAGGGCGCACTTTGGTGTGCACGGACTTTGGGTGTCTGCACGAAGCAATGAATGTCTGCAACAGAACTGCCCCTTTTACAGTTCCGTACATTTCTGTTCTGTGTAGCGAGAGTCTAAAAGTCAAAGGCGTCAGTATTTGGACTGAAGCAATAATGCACATCAGAAATTTTCACATTTATGAGTTACCATGTTTCCTCCCCCGCTTCCCAAGCACTCTGCATATGCACACGGACGCATATAAATATACATGATCATATTTCTGCAGCTACTGGGTATGTGCCCAAAGCCACTCATGACGGATATATTTAACATAGACAATCAAAATGAGACGCAGCATTAAAGTCAGTCTTATATGACTGATGGAAGGTTTCTTCATTTAAAAAGCGGGAGTATGTATCCATGCAGTGTTTTACATGAAAGACACGAGCTCTTCAGAGATGGCTTTATGGCCAGTTAAGGGTGCATAAGGTGCATATCGTGCTCCTCCCTGGAGAACCTTAGTGCTTGTGTTTACATATCAACGCCTACCATAAGAAGTTTGAGCTTTTAAAGCCAGCATTCCTCTGAGTTATTTGACATTGGAATCCTTTTTACTTCAGCTTGTCATATCTTTTGGCATTTCAAGTTAGTAATAGTCTATAGAATGTTTATTGAGAAAGTTTATCCCGACGGATGGGTTTATCTTCTGCCACTATATTTATTTTCTGTTTTGTGTAAAGTGGTGTTTGCTCAGGGTGTTCCTAGGACATCCACAGTATGTGAGATAAGAACATAAGAACACAGCAGAGTTCCTGGTGCGCCTTGGCCAGGAAAGAAGGCACCATGAGGTTTAGAAGTCTTAGAAGTATTGGTAGGAACCACACACAATAGTACAAGTCAGGGGTCCTTGTGGAACAGTATTTCTTCAGTGAATTTCCTGAGGTTAGTACTGGCTCCATTCTCCGATGCACACTAAAATGGCTCCTTACTTACAAGAAGAAGCTGAGTATTCTGGTACAGGACTGGACAGAGAAAGCATTCTACAGAAATCTGGTAGAGTGTGTGCTTCCTGAAGGTAGGCTCCACAGATTACATGTTTGTATTTCACGTTTCCGGGGCCTGACAAGATAACACTCATCGGTGCTTGTTGTCTACATTAGAGATACATTTTCATGCTCATTGAATGAATGAATGAATGAATGAATGAATTTCAGCGTCTTCCTGCACTGAAGCCACATTAGTATGGTTCAGTTTCAAAGTTTACACATTTTTTGTATCTAATGAATGTAAAACGGGATTACAGAAAGGCACAAATAGAGGATCTAATAATAAGACCCTGAGCACCCTGCTGGAGGCCAGCAGTTCTGAAGCCCAGTGAGCAGGGGAGGAAGGGCAGAGGAGAGCAAGCCTCAGTGAGCCTCCTATGGCGTCCTCTGCCCAAAGAAGGCACTAGCATCTTATCCATCATGAATGAAGGAAACACTAAGTGACTTGTAAGCATCTATAGCTCACCTCTCATGCGGTGAAAACCAACAGGATAAAGAGAGCTTAGACATCCCTCCTCTTCCCAGCCACTCTGTCCCCAGGACTCATACCCATGAGTGAAGAGTCCAGGAACAAGCCGGTTTACAGGAATGGAGGGGCTGGGAGCCTGGGGTTAACTGCTAGGCTAGCAGACTTCTAAATTGTGTTTTGGAAGCTCCTTTCATCGGCAGCCAACGGCCTTGTCAGAATAGAGGATCAAGTATCAGAAATGTGGGTTAGGCGTTTTATTCTCCCACTGCAGTGAGCAGCTTACAAATTGAGATTCAAACTCAGGCCTGATGCTGGCTGGCTCTGTGACCTTAGAAAACCTGGGAGTTTCTCTGAGCCTCTGTTTCTTTTGATTTAAAGTGAGAAAATAATACCTCTTTTGTAGTTGTTACCACAACTCGGTGGGGTTATACATCAAGGGGCAGTGTGACTCTCAGTGCGTGGTGGGCACTCGCGGATAGTGGCTGTTATTAGCAGGAATGTAATCATTATAAAACATATTACACACATATTTTTAAATATATGACATATATTTAAAATAAATATAATATGATACATATAAAATATAAATAAATACATGTATAAATTACATATATTATAAAATATGCTGACGCTGATATTACCGTCAGCCTCCTAGTTCAGCCATACCCTCTCCACACAGCACCACGAATGAGTTACTTTTAAGCACCCACTCCGTGTCAGGCACACAGAAGCTCAGCATCCAAGTCCAAGCCACGCTGTGTGTTTTTGCCATGGAAACGCCTTCTATGTAATGACAAAGGACGGCCGACCTTCAGTGTTAACCCACCAGTGAGACTAGCCTGACCTCTGCCCACTCACTAGATGACGTAGCGGACTTAGGCAGGACTTAAGGAGATAACACATACCCAACTAAAATCTAGTTCCCTCCTTCATCATCCTCTTCATTACAAGCTCTCTTCCACCTGACCTTCCTGCTACTCAGGATGCAGTAGCGCTGAGCCTCCCCAAGGATCACGGGTCCTCTGCACCCCAGAACTGACAGTGACCTCAGGTTGTCGGGAGCCAGGCAGCCTGGGATGGAAATCCTTCTTGTGTACGGGTGCCGGTGCCACCTTTCATTCTCTCACTGGCAGGATCAGCTCCAAGATGGCAATCTCTGTCATTTGCAAGTTAAAGCCAAACTCTCCTCAGGAACTCCCTACAGTAAGCCAGCAAAGAACACGGGGACCTGAATGGGTCCTCAGCAGAGGCCTAGAACGGCTGTTTGATTCCTTGTGTCTCTCTTGGCCCCTAACATGCTCAAACTCCAACTCCGAAGAAACAGCTGAGGTGAACTGTTGGAACCCTTTAAATGCCTCACTGGACTGGCCTTGTTGAGGGGTGGACTGTCCTACATACGTGAAATTTACGGATAACTCAAAGGAACCCCCACCCCAGGTATCAGTGAACACTGTGTTCATTTAAAATGGAAATGTCCATGTGCATTTTAATTATCTATTAATAATAAATATAGACTCCTATCTACTTCCTATCTGGCACTATGACAGGCACCTTCAAGCATTCCATTGTCCCCTCATAAACAACAGAAGATGCGGACAGTGCTGGCAAGATTTAAGAGACAAAGAAACTGAGCCTTAAAATCAAGTAATAGCCTAAGGCTAGGTACGGAAGGAAGAGCTGTGACTTCAGATCCAAGGAGCTCTCTGATCTTCTATGCTAAGATGTGCCTTGTGGCTGAATTGACACTAACAGAGGGTTGTTAAAAACACATGCAGAGTAGATAACAAAGAGTGTGGAATATTCTCCAAGTCTTCTTGTGGAGAGTCAGGCATGTCTGATAGGAGAAAGTTCCTGTGTATATTTAGATCTATAAGGTTTAGTTCATGAAGCCTTATATGGATCACAGAGGCAAAGTTATACACACACATGCACATATACACACACATACATACATACATACATACACACACACATATACACACAGCCCTTCGTATCTGTACTGCCGCTGCCTGTTCTACTTTTTCTCAGAATCACATCTTGTCCCTCGTCAGTCTGTAAACTGCTTAAAGACAAGGACTGTGGCCTGTGAACTATTTATCATCCACGGCATCCAGCCTAACACGTAAAAAGGTCTTGAAAAGTTTGCTTAAGGGGCAAACGAAGTCCACAGCAATTACGGAGAAAGCATTTGCTCACGGTCTGCCACCAAAAGTGGTTAAGATGAGGGGTCCTGCCTACTTGGTCTTCTCTTTCAGGAGTGACTCTGCGCTGGCCCAGCTCTACGGGACATCGGCCACCTTAGAGCATCACCATTTTAACCACGCTGTGATGATCCTTCAGAGTGAGGTGAGGCCTGCTCCGCTTCTATCCTTGACAGAAGGCCAACTGCATGGTCCGCGCTCCCCGATGTGCCTGATGAAACTCACAGAAGTGGGAGCCCATGTTTACATTAAACTCAGACCCCGGTGCCTTGCGTGAACCTTTCCCATGCCAAAGACCTTGTTCCAGGTCTTCCCGAGCTGCTTGGAGGTTTTGCAGGTTTTGCAGGTGCAGGATCACTTACGGGGTACCAGGTGGAGGTTGCCTATTGCCAGAGCATCATCATCTTGTCTTTCTTGAAGGATGCAGTCTTGGTTTATGACAGAGTGATCCAACTTTCCATTCTGTGGAACCCAACACCATGCAAAGAGATGGTAAAAACAGGAAGAGCCAAGCTTTGATAGTGAAACTGAGGTGCTTATAAAAGACAAAAGAACTGAAGTTTTTGGTAGGGCTGCATTTGAAAGCGAGAAATGGCTACTAACCCCAAGGCCGGGGCTAAAGCCATATGCCTTATTTTGCTTTCTGCAGCAACGCGGGACTCAAAAGGCATTGGAGTATCGACTTATCTCTCTCTGCAGAGAAAAACAGAAACCCACTGACTGACTCTGGCTGCAGCAGCTGAGTTTTTAACTTGCCAGGAAAAAAATCTGTTTAATTTTATGAAGGCATACAGACCTTTTTTTTTTTTTTTTTTTTTTTTTTTTTTTTTTTTTTTTTTTTGGCCAGGAAGGGATTGTCTGTCCCCTGTTATTTTTCAGCTCTCTGGCTATGCCATTAATTATTATTATTATCGTCATTAAAGCTCTGTTTCACTGGAATGGCATCATTAAATATGGAGAGGGTTTTTTTTTTTTTTTCTCCTCTAGACTATCTTGAGGAAACCTGTCTTTTGTAATATCACCAAAGCCTTCAGCCTCATAACAGAGACCCACCACTCCAGAGCCTGAATGTGGGCTCGGGCAGGGCAGCCTGCCAGAGGCGCTGTGTTTTCATTTAGGATAAAGCTCCTAAGTAAGGGCCTTGGGAACTGGTGGAGCCAACTTCCTGTCGTCTGTGGCTCTGGAATATGAAAGCCACATGTGAGCTGAGAGCCAGGAGGAGGCAGGGGTGGCAGGTGCTTTTGTTTAGCTTGTCTTTTCCCTGGTTGGAAAATGTGATGAGTCCCTACCTCTGACTCCAGAGAGCCACCTTCATAGTGATGGGGATCATAAACAGCCTAGCGCCCTTAGGTCCGGGTCTTCTCACCGGGACACATTGGTCAGCCTCTGCTCCAGTTTCTTCCCAGTGACAATGACCAGTGAACACAGAAGTGGACAATGAGTCTCAGGCCCCACGTCCACTCCATTCTGCCACCAGGAAGGCATGTCATGCCTATCCCATGTTCTTATTTACACAGACACGCAGAGCTTAGAGGTCTTGAAGAAGCTAACCTCAAGCCTTTCTTTCTCTACCCCTGGATTTCCCATCCTGCTGTTCTTGCTGGTTTCCTACACCTAGGGCTGTTTCCCTAAAACCTAGTCTCTCACAGTATTTGTGAGAGACTCATTACCACTTAAGGGTCAAACCCTGAGGTGCTCTTCAAGGTTAATTTGCATATTCAATGATGCCCTGGGGCAAACTAACTTTTATAAGTGAAAGCTGATTTGGCTGGCTTTGTATTCCCCAAGAACAGCACTATTTACCCTTAAAAGCAGTAAAAGGCGAGTCACAAAAAAACAGGACAAATTCAGGTGAGTGCCCTTGTCTGAAGGCAAGCTTCTACTCAGCCTTGCTCCGAAGGCTGCCTTGCTTTTCCCAAGTGAAGGTGCTGAATCCAGGTGACCATTTTTCCAAACATTGTAAACTACTTTTTCCCAGGCTCCAGAATGTTTGCTTGTAACTGTCCCATGAGAGGATGCCTGTACAGAATCCTGGTCCAGCCTTCCTCGAATTCTTTGTCCTCCTAATCACTGAATTAAAGGCCTAGAAGAGTTCATTTAAACTGACTATTAATATTGGACTTGGTCCCAGGTGGAGCCAACACCCTGCAGTCAGGAGGGGAGGGCTCGCCTGAAGAAATAAATCAGCTCAGCGAAGCAAATTATTACCTGACGCTTGATTCAGATGAAATTGCTAATTGATATTCTGGTCCCCTGGATAAATTAATTTACCTCTCGTGGAAAATAGTTTCTTCTTGAAAAGTCGCTTGCCCCTTTCCTTCCCCACCAACCTTTGGCTCTCAGTTCTAGGTTCAAAGTGATCCAGTTCCCGGGTCCCATGCTTATGAGTTCATAGTTCATGCTAAGAAAAACAGACAAAAAAAAATCCTGTTTCAGCACGCGTGTGGAGTAAATGATGGTCGCACTGCTGAAGGGTTTCCACCTTGCTAACAGCAAGCCCTGGGGCTGCCGAGTGAGTCTTCTAGAAGAAACAAGAATGTTCTCTGGTAGCATGGAGGTGAAGTTGTATTGCAGTTTTTGTTTGGTAGAAGTCATCGTTAGAGCCCCTTGCACCCAGATAATGGCTTCTCCATTCTAGCTGTTCAAAACTTAATCCAGCACAGGCGCCAAGGCCAGCTGGCCTGGGTCTGAAAAAGCATGGGATAAATCCGGACTAGCTGAACATAGCGGACAATGAGGAATACTGAGAACTCAAGAACAATCGCAGTTGGTTTTTGATCCTACTACACGTACTGGCTTTGGGGGAGCCTAGGCAGTTTGGATGCTCACTTTACAAAACCTGGATAGAGGTGGGCGGTCCTTGGGCTTCCCACAGGTCAGGGAACCCTGATTGCTCTTCGAGCAGATGAGGGAGGGGGACTTGATCGGGGGGAGGGGGAGGGAAATGGGAAGCGGTTGTGGGGAGGAGGCAGAAATCCTTAATAAATAAATAAATTTAAAAAAAAAAAAGCAGCCTGACAGCTCAGTGTGGGGTTCCTCACTTCAGCAGGGAGCCAGGTCTTTGAGTGGCATCCCCTGGTCACTGAAGGTTGTTTACCTACGTCCTAGCCTCTTCTAGTAAAGGTATTAAAAGTTAATAGTGTCCCAGGCAGTCATGACTGTCCAAAATGTCTCTATTTGCTCCCAATGCTTCCATTGTCTAAACCTCCCCCACTGAGACACCATAGTCTAATGGCTTTTGCTCTTTCTCAAAGTCACTTGTCGCCACAGCAAGGGTTTCTAGATTGCCAGCTAAATCTTTCCTAGTAGAAGCAGTATTTCTTTGGGGATCAGAAAGATTCCCAAGTGTTTATCTCACTTCCCCACTCCACTCTGTACTTCTATATCCATCTAATACAAAGATAGAAATGAAAATGAATATATATATATATATATATAGCAAAAACCCTTACCAAACTTTAAATTTTGTTCACGTTCTGATCATCTTTAGAATATAGATAAACCCTGCAGTCATCAACTCCAGGTGGAATGGTGTGTTTGTGACTTTCTGCCTTCTCATTGCAGGGTCACAACATCTTCGCTAATTTGTCCTCCAAGGAATACAGTGACCTCATGCAGCTTCTGAAGCAGTCGATACTAGCCACCGACCTCACGCTGTACTTTGAGTAGGTATTGGAACTTGGTCTATTTGACAGATGGATACTAACACTCCATCTTTAATTAACATCTGGGTCCATACTAAATGTTGCATTAAATTATTCCAGCTTTGCTATCTGTCCTTCCCTTAGCTAAACTCAGCTCATTGGGACAGTTTCTGCACTCTAAAAATAATTCAGGATGCTAGTGACCAATCTGAAGTCTTCCTTATGCTGATGAGCCTTCTTTGGATCTCAGGACTCTGAAGCCAAGTGCTACCGGGGATATTTCATATGCTGCCTGCGACAGCAATTTCCAGTATTATTTGTTTCTGTAATGGTGCTGATGGTGCTGATGAACTATGTTCACGGATGGAAGCGTGATTAGACACTTAAGCCTGTGTTCCTTACCCTCCTCCCTGGTTTGTGCTTTGAACAGCAATCTGTCCTCTGTTCTGCCAGTGGTCACCAAAGGCTGTGGTCTTTTCTAGCTTTCCTGACGTAAAAGGCTTGCCGATGTCTTGTGCCAGTTCCTACTCTTCGCTTCCCCAACACCCAGGTGTATTTCTCCTTTTCCAGATCTGCTGTAAATTCCAGTCCTCCCCTCTTTGAGTTCTGTAACTCATGTTCTGTTCTCTCTACTGAGATTGTCTTCCTGACCTCTCGTCTGTGTTACCCTGATGTAGGTTAGCTGCAGGGAGGGGGTCTGAAATGCTTCATTCTAACTCCCAGCATTGTGGACACTTATCCCTGCCTTCCAGCCATTAAGGAAACCTTAAACTTAGCTTGACAGGCAAAATCCTTCCTCATTGCCCCCTCTCTATTTTCCATTCTTTTTTTAAAAAAAAATGTTTATTATTTAATTATATGTATATATGGATATATATATATGGGGGGTTCATGAAAGTAAGTGTTGTGCCCCTGGAGACCAGAAGCACAGCTGTGGGTCACTAGATATAGGTGCTGGAAACCTAACTCTGGTCTTCTGCATGAACAACAGTCTTAACCACTGAGCCATTTCTCTAACCCTACTTTTCCCTTGCACTGTTATCTTTCAGTTCTCCCCTATAGCACCTGTCTGCCTTGACCATACCTGACTACATATTATCCTTTGAAACAATGCCATGTCCCTTATACCACAATCACAGCATATCATCGTTCCTACGTAGAATCCCATCCCCACACCTGCTCCACCCTCTGTCTGAACTGACTCATCCTTTTGAGTCCTACTGGACCTTCACACCTCATTAGTTATAATTAGGTTCAGTGGTAGGAAATAGAAAACCCAAAGCAGCAGTTCTCCGCTGCATACAAGAAGTACAGAGACCCACCCACTGAGACAGTGGGGCTGATCTATTGGGAGCTCACCAAGGCCAGCTGGACTGTGACTGAAAAAAGCATGGGATAAAACCGGACTCTCTGAACATGGCGAACTATGAGGGCTGATGAGAAGCCAAGGACAATGGCACGGGGTTTTGATCCTACTTCATGTTCTGACTTTCTGGGAGCCTAGCCAGTTTGGATGTTCACCTTCCTAGACCTGGATGGAGGGGGGAGGACCTTGGACTTTCCACAGGGCAGAGAACCCTGACTGCTCTTTGGACTGGAGAGGGAGGGGGAGAGGAGTGGGGGGAGGGGGAGAAGGGTGGGAGGAGGGGGAGGGAAATGGGAGGCTGGGAGGAGGTGGAAACTTTTTTTTTTCTTTTTCTCAATAAAAAATTTAAAAAAAAAAAAAGAAGCACAGAGACCCACAACCTGCTGCTGGTGTGGTGGCCAATGAAGTCCTCACGGACCAGGTCTCTTCTCTCTTCCTATGACATCGGTGTCTACCTGTTAGTCAGGGACAATTGCTCAAGTCCCAGTGTGGCTGCTCACCTTCAGGTCAACAAGAAGATGGGATAAAGGAGGAGGCCAGCGGTAGCTCAGGCCGTCTTCCAAGGCGCTCTGGAAGCTGCCACTTACTACTTCCGCCTACATTTCACTAGTCAGAATTTGGTTTCGTGGCTACATCTAGCATCGGAGAGTGTAGGGAAGGAAGACCTTGCTCTGAATAACCTTGGTATCTAGTGACAGTGGAGAGGGCAAGAAGGGATACTAGTGAAGACAATGGGCTGTCCACGCCTCAGGCATTTATTACTGGATTATTGCACGGGACAGTGGACGGAGTAAAGGCTGTGAGTATTAGTGGCCGGGATTTATATTTCCTTCTGTCATCTCCATTAAGTCTGGTGACATGAAAGTTCACTCTCCCTTCTCCTTGCGATTTTCATGATATGTCATGTCTCTAAAGGGTCAAATAGAAAAGGAGAGGGCACACCACAACTGACAAGAGTAGCCTATGGAGGTGGCTGAGTGAGGTGGCGGATGACCCAGCTGGGTAGCCATAAGGGGCAGGGCTCTCAGAGGAGGAGGGTACGGAAGAGCGGCCACTCAGCAACGCTTTGGTGAAGCTTCACGCCCAAAGCGCCATGAAAGGTGGACGTAGCACTCAAATCTTTTCTTTTTTTGCTTTACATTTTTTTCATTTTGTGAACCAACCCCAGTTCTCCCTCCCTTCTCCTGCCTCCCCTGCCTCCCCTCACCCTAACCCCATCCATTCTTCAGAGGTGGTAAGGCCACCCATGGGGAATCAACAAAGTCTGGAATATGCAGCTGAGGCAGGACCAAGACCCTCTCTGCTACATCAAGGGGAGCGGAAACTATCGCGCCCTAGGCCAGGGAGGAAGCAATATATCTCTTGAAACATCTACGTGGTTAGGCCGTGTCTTGGCACCTTGTGTCTTGGCACCTTGTGGTCAGGTCATTCTGAGAACTGTATCACAGCTGTCTGTGCAGCAAGCTGTTTTGGCAGCAAGCTGTTTTTGCAGAGAGGATGAGGAAGATTGGCCAATACTTTAGGTCGGGGGGCTTCTTGGTCCCCAACAGTATCCCTCCATAGGGAATGGGCTCCAAAAAGCCAGTTCATGTACCCAGGATAAGTCCTGGTCCCACTGCCAGGGGCCCTCCCAACAGATCAAGCCATGTAACTGTCACCACATTCAGAGGGCCCAGTTCAGTCCCATGCAGGTTCCCCAGCTCTCAGTCCAGAGGCCGTGAGCTCCCACTAGCTCGGTTCAGCCGTCTCTGTGGGTTTCCCCATCATGGTCTTGATCTCCCTTGCTCTTACGAACCCTCCTCCCTCTCCTCAGCTGAACTCCAGGAGCTCAGCCCAGTGCCTGGCTGGAGGCACTCAAATCTTAGACAAGGAGATTGCCGGCTACTCAGTTTACAGAGCACTGAGAAGCCCTCCCCCACTGGGAGCCAGCTTGTGTGTCTCTCCGGGAAAAGCCCAAGAAATGAAAATGGGGGTTCTGCCCTGGGGAGGACAAGCAGGTCTCAAACAGGGGTTCAATGAGATGAACCAAGACTCTGGATTTTCTCAAATGAAAGTCCAGAACCCAATCACTCTGAAGTTTTTAGGGGGTCTATAAACCACATGCCAAAGCTGTCAACTTCAAAGTCATAATAAACAACTGGTGTGTGTGTGTGTGTGTGTGTGTGTGTGTGTGTGTGTGTGTGTTTAACCCATTAAATTTTGGAAATACACTTAGATGGGATTTTTTTAAATCAAAAACTCAAATTTAACCAGACTTTCTTTTATAGTGAACCTCCCTCCTTCTCTTCCTCCCTCCCTCCCTCCCTCCCTCCCTCCCTCTCTCTCTCCTTAATTAGTCTTTTAATTCCTGACTGGGACACACAAACAGTTAACCAAAGATCAGAGAGGCTTTATTACCTCTAATGAAAAACAGACACCAAAACAGAAAAGGAAAAGAAAAAGCACCACAGAGAAAACCCAGTTGTTCATCCATTAAACAATAGTAGGCTCCTTTAAGGAATAGCAGGCGGAGGTATGACGAAGAAAGCGCTTGAAAATGGAAGCGTGATGGTTACAAGAAAAAACCAAAGCTTCGGGGGGGATCAGTCAAAAGACTAAGGGCAACAAGGCGCGCCTTTCTCGCAGGCCTTTTGGAGCTCTTAGATTTGCTAACCACACACCTGTTCTCCATCTCACAAATACAGAGGTTTCCATAAAGGACCGGCGAGATGGTTGGCAGGTAGAAAATGTAGGGGAGACTGCGGTTTCCTTTCTGCCCTCCCAGACCCGAATAATCACACAGAAGCCATATTAGTCACAGCACTGTTCGACCAATGACTCGGGCATATTTCTATTAATCTGTGTATGGCCAGGAGGCTGTGGCTTACGGGGAAGGTCCTTCTTCTTCTGCAGCTACAGTTACATGCTGTCTCCCAGATGCCGCCCACTCTCTCTCTCTATCTCTGTTTGCATTTCCCACCTGGCTTTACTCTGCTAAGCCACTGGCCCGAACAGCTTTATTCATCAACCAATAAAAGCAACATATATACAGAAGGACATTCCACGCCAAGAAAATAGTGGCTGCTCTAACTGACTACCTGGGTTTGATCTCCAGAATCTGCATGCTAAAAGAGAGAACAACTTCTTCAAGTTGTCCTCCGACCTCCACACATGGACCATGGCAAATGTATGCACACACACGCGCGCACGCACACACACACAATAAATGTAAAAGAAATTTTAAGGAATCTTATATACTGTGCTGTCCACCTTGTTATTTGAGACAGAGTTTCTTATTGGCTTGAACTTACCAAGTAAGCTAGACTGGCAGGCCAGCAAGCCCCGAGCCCCTCTCTCTTTAGCTTCAGCACAGCAAGTGAGCCTCATCACACCTAGCTTCATAGCATGGGGCCTGGGACCTGAACTCAGGTTCCCATGTTTATGTGATGCATACTTTATTATCTCCCCAGCCCAAAAATACTGATATTGTTAAAATAAAAAATGTGTATTTTAGAAGCCCCAGGCTCTGTTGCTAGCTAGCTATGTGTCATCAAACATGATACTTCCCTCTGAGATGCCTTCCTTCATGTATAGAGTGGCAATAACATACTGTGCATATATTAAACATCTTATGAGTGGTGACGACGGCCTCATTGCTTTACAATCTACTTATCCC